AGAGAGAGAGAGAGAGAGAGAGAGAGAGAGAGAGAGAGAGAGAGAGAGAGAGAGAGAGAGAGAGAGAGAGAGAGAGAGAGAGAGAGAGAAAGCGCTAGCCCATCAATTTCAACTCTATCAAGTTCAAACCTACTGTCTTCACCCGAATAGAACGCCCGGTCATTATCGCTGCATGTGGACTGAAAGTTGTGCCAAATACAGCAGCTATAATGACCGGGCGTTCTATTCTGGTGAAGACGGCAGGCTACCAATGGGGCCAGGCCGCCCGGGTGACCTTGTTTTTCTCGGGTGGCCCGGCCGTCCAAGGGACAAAGTAGGTCATTAAGTTCGAAAAAATCTGCCAAAAAAAAAAACATGTTATGCAGAAAAATAAACTGAATAAATTTTGCCTCAGGGGGTCAAATCCAAATTCTCTGCCAAAAATAAAATATAAAATGTAAAAATATAATATATCTCCTGATGAGTTGGTGAAACTCCGACGAAACAGTTTGTCGATCACAGCCCCTCGTTTGTTGTCCTCTTCTCCTTCCCTCTCTGCCTTCGGGTTACCGGGAAGCTCTATTTGACGATATATATATACTTGTCCTGTCCCCCCACGCACTTGCTCTCGTCCTTCAATTCGCACCATTCATGAACGGCCTCCTCACAAACGCTTGGCTAGCACAACGGCTACTTCGTCCTGTCTTAGCACCTGTCTCTTATACACATCTAGATGTGTATAAGAGACAGGCTTGCTTCTGTTGTTAAACCCCAAAAGAGGAAAAAGAATGAGTAAAGACGAATTGCCAAAATGCGAAGAAATGCGTATAGAGGATACTTCTTATGCACCAAGGCAGAGGGAGAGATGTGTGCTGACAAGCTAAGTTAGGTAACCGATGTGAAAGTATCTCAGACAGAACAGGGCAATTGCTAACCAATGGCACTGAGGCCACCACACCTTTCATGCTCTTTGCTTTTGTTTGACAAAGTTTCTATCAATTTTCATGCCGCCTGAGGCGCAATAGGTAAGCGACCGTCTTCCCACACAAGCACAACGCACCCTCATTATGGCTGCATCCAACAGGAAAGATGGCTTGTATACACTCAGAATCCGGGTGCGTTATGTTCGGGGGGAAGACGGTAGTTATTTTCACACGTCGTGCTCAGTGTTTTCTTGCTTTGGTGTGCTCTGGATTTTGTGAATTCGTTTTTCATCTTGTTCTACTTATGCATGGTCTTCGATGAGATCTTGCTGCTCAATTTTTTATTTTTTTTATTTTTTTTTAATTTTTTTTTGTGTTCTCATAAGCTCGGATTCCTTGCACCTGGTCTTCTTTATGTTAGGATGAAGCCCATCCTGTCCCCTCTCCCCTCATATTCTTGAAGTTCATTATTCGTTGAATAGTTCTCTCTCTGCAAGTCACGGCACTTGCTCTGTTCCCTCTTCCTTCTCCTTCCTTTGTTGTTTTCTTGTGCTTTTTCCTCTTTCTCTGTCCTTAACGTTTTCCCCTTTCCTTCTTGTGCAGTGAGTTTGAGATTTTTTTTTTTTTTGTGTTTTTTTTTTGTTGGTCCTTCCCCCCGTTACCCCGCGGTCGAATCGGAGAATTTTGTTTAGTGTGAGCATGCCTTACAAATTGGACAAATTGAATGTCGATCATCATCTTTGTCATGCTGCTGTCGAAGTGCATCTTTTCGTCGAGGTTGGAAGTACATGCGCACAGGTAAGGCCAGATTCATTTTAAGTCCCGAAGGTACAAATGTGCGTATGCCGTAAGTTCTTGTGCTAGCCCTTCAGTGATTAAACGTTTTTTTTTTTTTTTTTTTTTTTTTTTTTTTTCCGTTATCGGTATTGGGGTTTGTCATGGCAGGATGGGATTGTGGAGAAAGGCAATGTTAGTGCAATCCTAAACGTGCAGTGGGATCTCTGCTTTGCGGCTCTTGAGGTATGTCTGAGCTCTGCTTTCTTTTTTGGTTTTCTAAGTTTCCTGGATTCACACATGTCATCCTTATGGAGCACCCCCCTGTGAACCTTCTCTCTCTCTCTCTCTCTCTCTCTCTCTCTCTCTCTCTCTCTCTCTCTCTCTCTCTCTCTCCCCATTTCATTAAAAGCAAAAAAGAAAGCAATCTTCTTGAGGTCGAGGGCTGGTCTGCATTTGTGCACTGCTCAGTGCCAACCCTCCATCAGTTTCAAAACCATCAGCTCCGTCAATTTCAAACTCCATCGGGATTAACTCCGGCAAGAGAGAGAGAGAGAGAGAGAGAGAGAGAGAGAGAGAGAGAGAGAGAGAGAGAGAGAGAGAGAGAGAGAGAGAGAGAGAGAAAGCGCTAGCCCATCAATTTCAACTCTATCAAGTTCAAACCTACTGTCTTCACCCGAATAGAACGCCCGGTCATTATCGCTGCATGTGGACTGAAAGTTGTGCCAAATACAGCAGCTATAATGACCGGGCGTTCTATTCTGGTGAAGACGGCAGGCTACCAATGGGGCCAGGCCGCCCGGGTGACCTTGTTTTTCTCGGGTGGCCCGGCCGTCCAAGGGACAAAGTAGGTCATTAAGTTCGAAAAAATCTGCCAAAAAAAAAAACATGTTATGCAGAAAAATAAACTGAATAAATTTTGCCTCAGGGGGTCAAATCCAAATTCTCTGCCAAAAATAAAATATAAAATGTAAAAATATAATATATCTCCTGATGAGTTGGTGAAACTCCGACGAAACAGTTTGTCGATCACAGCCCCTCGTTTGTTGTCCTCTTCTCCTTCCCTCTCTGCCTTCGGGTTACCGGGAAGCTCTATTTGACGATATATATATACTTGTCCTGTCCCCCCACGCACTTGCTCTCGTCCTTCAATTCGCACCATTCATGAACGGCCTCCTCACAAACGCTTGGCTAGCACAACGGCTACTTCGTCCTGTCTTAGCACTGCGTTGCAAGGCGTGATCTCTACTCTTCGTGAGAAAGACACTGAGCTCTATCAACAGGAAGGTGTTCGACGGTGCTGGATTGTCCAGAGTGCCGATGAGGTGGCGATTGACCTGAAAAACAATGTGTCCTCTCTATGTGGCCTCTCTCCTCGCACGGTTGATTTCACCACAATGTACACCAACCTTCCTCATGACCGCATTCCGAATAATGTGGCAAAGGCTGTTGATGAAGCTCATGCTTATGCCCTTCAGCATACCCGCATGCATTCGCGCTGCAAAGCCTTGAACATATTTATTCGCGGGCCTTGCTCTGGCCAATGGACAACCGATTCAGGACCAAACAGCCTTTCCGTTTCTCAGATTCTCCTACATCTTCGCTTTGTTGTAGAAAACACTTTTCTGTACACTAGAGATGGTACTCTTCGAAAGCAAATCATTGGTATTCCAATGGGAACAAATGTTGGCCCAGAAATCTCCAATAATTGGCAGGACTTCTGAACTGCAGCGACAACGCTCACTCGTCGCATGCTTTCTTGTGTCCATTCCCCACCAACCCTCGCTAAAGGATGGACCTGCTACACACGCTCCCGCCAATGTCGCTATCCTACACATGTCACCCGTCTCTCTCAGTGGTTTCGACGCATGCTGCAATGGTCCTTGCATCACCCACTTTCTTCTTTATCCCCACATCGCTCTCGTCCTGTCACTGCTTGTTCTTCTGCTGCTAATGCAGTTCCCACTGTTGCGGTTCCCACCGCCGCCGCTTTCACCGCTGTGGTCTCCAGTGCTGCTGTTTCAACTCCGGGTTTCACTCCAGCAGTTTCTGCTACGGAAGTTGCCTCTGCTGTGGTTCCTGCTACAACAGTTGTCTTTGCTGCGGTTCCACGTTTTATCACTGCGGTTCCTGCTACAACAGTTGTCTCTGCTGCGGTTCCACTTTTTACCACTTCCTCTGCTTCTGTAGCTCGAATTTCTCATGCTATAGTTTTTACTGGTATAGCTTCCTCTACCCCAGCCCGACACTTGCGTCCTATGTTCTGACATTCTGCCCAATCCACCCCCCTTTCATCCCTTTCTGTGCTTGGCCGCAGACGGCTGCGTTCCTCCTCGCCACCCCCATCTCCTCCACGGTCTCGTTTGAGAACCGATTCTTCGGTTACTATTCTTCCCATTGTCCCGCCTTTATTGCCAGTGACATCCTCATCTTCTATTGGAAACATCGCCACTCCTCTATTGTGTATCATCGTCGACGACATGCACAACATCGCCACTTGGCCAGGGATCAGCGGCGTGCTTCTTTGTCTACCCCAATTTTCTCTGTGCCTCCTCCACAGGTTGTTGCGGTTCCGTTGTCCCAAACGGATGCATCTGCTCCTATGCCTCCTGCAGACAGTCCAGCTGCTTGCACACAGCCACAACACCATGTTTTATGCTCTTCCATGTTCGTTTGTCCCCCAGCTGTACAACATGTGGCCCCGAACGTTGAGGGCCTGGGACATGATCAACTCGGACTGCATTTAACCCCGCAAGGCATAGACCACACGGGGGATTTGCAAATGGCTGACCAGGATCATATGGATGAACCGCATACATGTGCCCCACCCTGTGTGGCCCCGAACGCTGAGGGACTGGAACATGATCTGCTTGGACTGCATTTAATCCCACATGGCGCAGACCTCACGAGGGATTTGCAAATGGCTGACCAGGATCATATGGATGAACTGCATACTTGTGCACCACCCTGCGCAGACCCCACGGGTGATCTACAAATGACTGACCAACAAAATCAGCCTGAGATCCCCGCCAATCTCTGTGGTCTGACTGCAACTAATAGCTGCCTTCGCGTTCTCAATCGGCCGTTGTATACACCATCAGGTTTCCTTGCAATTACCCTACAGCTTGATGTTGATCTCGCTAATCTCGCTGATCCCCCCGACCTACAGCCAGAGTATAGTAATTACGCCAGGGAAGGAGGGTTTACCATTGCTGTCCTAGAAATAGCGATGAGGAACCGCCAGCTTGAACTACGCCATGCTCTACCAGGTGAGTTGTTTAATCCTCCATCCCACAGGCCTGGCCATTACATGGCTATTGTTCACGCCTCTGACCATTGGGAGGTGTGGAACGACGGTGTCAAGGTCCATGCCATGATTGATATTACTGATTTCTTACTCTATGATGCTGTTCTCTTGCCACATCAAACTGTCCGCAATCTCCTTTATGTCGAAGATCATTCCTCTGCCACCGCAGTGCAGCAGTACAATGTACACACACTATGTGACCTTCTCCTTTGTACATCCACAGACACTGTTGCACTTGGGTGTACTCGCCATCATCTTTGTCACAATCACTACCAYGAGATGGTTTCTGCATCCATGTGTGTACAGGATTGTCCCTCCGTTCCTGACTGCAGGCACCCTCCTCATCCGGACACTCTATGTCCATTTTGTGGCCACGGACGCTATGCTGAATGCATGCTCTTTTGTGGGGGGCGTTCTTCCTTTATTCTGGCCTGCAATAGACATGCTATTTGTGAGGAATGTATTGTTGGCATGCTTAATGCCAGCCGTCGTGGCAGTTGTTGTTTTGAGAATGCTCAGTTAGGTCTTCCATGCGCTCATCCACCCCATCCTTACAATGTGTGTCCTTTCTGTCGTCAAGGACAGCCTCATTCTTGAGCTTTTTCTTGCCCTTTCCTTTGCCCTCTTCCTCATTCTACACTCCGTATTTTCCCTCTTCCATTCTTTGTTTGTCCTCTCTCTGTCTCTTTTCCCTGTGTTTAACACCTTCCCCTTCCCTATGCCTCAGAGTCTCTCATAGCGTGCAAGCGGGCATACGGGGATGGGGGCAGCTCGCACTCAACTTCATCAACGTGGCGAGCCTTGCACGTGAGAGGCACGTCAGAGGCACCGTGGAGGTGGAGTTCAAAAAAGAATGAGAAATTTAATGGTTTCAATCTGCCCTTGCTTTTTGTTTTTGTTTTTGTTTTTATTTTTGCAATGTGCCCGTTTTTTGTTTTTATTCTTTGTTTCGCAAAGTGCGCTCTTTTAGTTTGTAGTTATGTGACAATATATATATACCTACGGTTTACCGGGCAGTTCTATTTGACAATATATATATATNCAATATATATATATGATGATATATATATTATTATCCCTCGTTTGTTGTCCTCTTCTCCCTCTCTGCCTACGGTTTACCGGGCAGTTCTATTTGACGATATATATGTTTGACGATATATAGTATATATATATTTTAATTTAATAATTTTTTAAATTTTCTTTTTTTTAGGCCCGGCCGGGCAAATGGTCCCGGGCCACTCTGATAGCCTAATTTCAAACCCATTTTTGACTCCATCACTAGGATACCAGCCAGGCGGCCCGGGTCACCCTATTTTCCCGGGCGCCGTGCAAGGACAAGGCAAGGTCCCAGCCAAAAAACAAAAAAAAATCCAAAAAATCCAAAAAAAACCTATGTTATGCAGAAAAATAAACTGAACAACTTTTGCCTCAGGGTCACATCAAAATTCTTTACCAAATTTAAAATATATATATATATTTAAATAATTTATATTTTTTTATTTCTTTTTGGCCCAGCCGGGCAAGTGGACCCGGGCCAGTCTGGTAGTCTAGCTCCCATCATTGATTTCAACTCACCATCAATGGTGCGAACTGGATGGAATTCATTCATTCATGAATCATTCATGAATTAATGTGCTTGTGAACGTGGTCGGTTTGGGCTGGAGGTTGGCATGTGGGATTCCTATGTGTGCCATTTATAGGCCTTGAGGAGAGAGACACAGAAGGGTGATGATTGTGCTGTGTCCGTTGTGACATGCAAAGATGTATGCGCTCTGTGATATTAAAGCGTAATAATAATACATCTTTGGAAAATAAATTTAAATAATACATCTTTGGGAAATTTTGATGTGAATCGGTTATGACTTTTGATCATCTATATATCTATATACATCCGAAAATAAACAGAGGATGGATAACCCTCCATGGAAAAGAAAAAAAGAGGTAACATTCCAAAAATAGATCATTCCAAAAATAGAACATTCCAAAAACAGAAAATTCCAAAAATAAATAGACGGGAAGTGGCGCCAAAAAAAACACAAAGAAAGAAATGTCAAAAAGGTCTGGAGAATCATGGTACCTGCCTTGTGGCAGAGGGCATAGTACTCACTCTCTGATTTTCCACGATGCATCTGACTGCTATCGCGGCCAGATTCAATGAACAAAACAAAATCCTACTAAGTGGGCGTATATTGTGGATGGTGCTTATGCAACTGTTGGCAAAAGGCTCTGGTCTGTGGTGGCAGAGGGCATACTCACACTCTGATTTTCCACGATGCATCTGACTGTTATTGCGGCCAGATTCAATGAACAAAACAAAATCCTAGTATGTGTGAATGTATTCTGGATGGTGCATCTCATAAAGTACGACAATAGGAGATACTTCTCCTTGATTTTTTCAATTTTTTTGTTGATCCTTTTTTTTTTTTGGAATAAAGAAAGGAAGAAGATGAGAGTGTTACCGTCCTTCGGGACATCTGCTAAAATTGGAACGATACAGAGAAGGGTAATTAGCAAAAAATGGCCCCTGCGCTTTCAAGGATGACACGCATAAATCGAGAAATGGTCCAAATTTTTCTAGGAAAAAAAAAAAAAAAAAAGATGAGAAGGTTAGTGGGCTGTGGTGAGGATGCGATAGCATGAGAGACACACAGCAGCTGTTCTTTCTCCCTTGCTTGGATATTATAATTCCCTTGGAAGACGAACATGGCTCGAGTTATTGCATGTACTATTATTAGCTAAATGTTTTTTTTTTTTTTTTTCGCGATTCCTCTTTCGTTTCCCGGAAAAGAAAATTCTTTTTCCGGAAATTAATAGTTGAAGTCTCTGTTTTTCAGTTGAGGAGTGGTGGAGATCCAAGGTATAGACAAACGGCCGGCAGGGAGGTGTCACTGTCAAACTGAGAAGAAAATACTAAAATAGTAAAATACACACCATCATCCCCTTCTCCTCTTTGAGATTATTCTAGGCTGCGCTAAATAACCCGATTGCCCTTATCCCACAGTGTCCTAATCTGATTGTGTCCTTATCTGAGTGGGCGGTTTTTTGTTTGTATACTTTTTTTTTTTTTTTTTTTGCAGGAAAGGTGAGGAGGAGGAGGAGGAGGAGGAGGAGGAGGAGGAGCGGGAGCGATTGAGGAGGGCATGGCGACGGCGCGGCTTGCGCCTCCCATTGGGATCGACCTGGGCACTTCGAACTGTGTTGTGGGAGTGTGGAGAAATGATCAGGTGGAGATTATACCTAATGTAATTGGGGAGCGGTTGACTCCTTCAGTAGTTGCGTTTTTGGATAGCGAAGAAGGGGGTCGATATATCGGACAGGCGGCGAAGAATCAAGCGGTGAAAAACTGCGGGAACACGGTGTTTGAGGTGAAGAGGCTGATTGGACGGAAGTTTGATGACGAGACGGTTCAGAAAGACATACAATTATGGCCTTTCCCCATCGTGAAAGGGCCACGTGGAGAGGCGAGGGTTCACATCCGAACGCGATCCGTGGAGAAGGATTTCACACCGGAAGAGATCTCGGCCATGTTGTTGGCCGAGTTGAAGAGGCAAGCGGAAACCTATTTGGACGCGGAGGTCACAGAGGCTGTCATCACCGTGCCGGCGTACTTCAACGACGCACAGAGACAGGCCACGAAGGATGCCGGGGAAATTGCTGGGCTCAAGGTGCTGCGCATCGCAAATGAGCCTACGGCAGCTGCTCTGGGGTACACCGTTCATCGCGAGCGATTGATTGCCTTCGACAGAGAGAGGACGAAGACGGTGATGGTGTTCGATCTCGGTGGCGGCACGCTCGATGTCTCGATCATGGAGATCGGACGCGGAAAGTCGACGGTGATAGCATTGACAGGCGACAGCCACTTGGGCGGCGTGGACTTCGATATTCGGCTGCAGGAGCATGTGCTGAAGTCGGTGCCGGGAGTGGCAGGAGAGGGGACGGTGGCACAGAGGCGGCTGACGAGATTGCGGGAGAAGTGTGTGACTGCCAAACACGCGCTTTCGACACGGCACTTTGCCGAAATCGAAGTGCCGCCGGACAATGAGGTGACCATAAGCAGGGCACTGTTCGAGAACATCTGTAGCGATTTGTTCGAGAGGTGTATGACTTTGGTCAAGGAAGCGCTCGAGCTGTCGAAGCTGGGTAAAGAACAAATTTCGTCCGTGATCTTGGTCGGCGGATCCACGAGAATGCCGAAGATACCGGCGATGCTGACTGACTTCTTCGACGGGAGAAAGCCGTTGTCATCCATTCATGCGGACGAGGCCGTTGCGTACGGTGCAGCCGTGCAGGCAGCCATTATTGCGAAGCGGTGTACTGGATCCGATCTTCAAGACCTGGTCCTGGAGGAAGTCACGCCTTTGACTTTAGGTGTGAACACGTGGACAGGAGGAGGACCTGACACGTGGAAAATGTCCGTCCTTATTCCGAAGAACACCCCCATCCCTGCAAACGGAGAAGACATGCGGACTACCACTTGCGATAACCAGACGACCATGGAGTTTTGCGTCTATGAAGGGGAGAGTCCTCTTTGCAAGGATAATCATCTTCTCGGCAAGTTCACTCACGAGGGATTCGAACCCGCGCCGAGAGGAGAGGCGAGAGCTCGTCTCGTGTTCTCCGTAGATTCTGACGGTATTCTTCACGCAACCTCGACCAACACTGTGTCGGGACGAAGGAGCTTCGCCACCTTCACAACAGACAAGGGTAGATTGGCACGTGGCGAGATCGAGCAGATGATTACCTTCGAGCGGAAGTTTGCGGCCGGCGACAGAGCTGCCCTTGAGAAGGAGGCGGCCAAGCACCGCCTGCGGCAGTATCTTACAGAAATGAAAGGGAAGATGGAGAGCACGGGGTACCGGCTGCTCCAGAACGATCGCAGCGTGATTAATCGGAAAGTAACTGCGATTGAAGGATGGCTAGCAGGGTCGACGAGTGGACAGACATCGGCGAACGAGTTTGAAAACAAAAAGCGTGAGTTAGAGGAGGCGTGCGAAGCTCTTGAAGGGCTGGATCTCCGGGATAGGTATGTTCTTAGAAGCTGAGAAGAAGATGGGAAAAAAAAAAAACAGATGAGCGGAAAGATGATCTGCGTGGGTGTGAGGACAAGAAGGCGCAGGAAATGAGAGAGGGGGTTTGAGGAGAAGGAGAAGCTTCAGAAGGCGTGTGAAGCTTTTGTTTTTTTTTGAAAGGCCGGATCTTGAGGATGCTAGGTGTATTCTAAGAAGACGATGAAAAGAAGAGGGAAAAAAGGAGGGAGAGAAATCATAATCTGCAAGGGTGTGAGGCACAAAAAAAAAAAAAAAAAAAAAGAGGATAAGGAGGCGCAGGAAATGAGGGGGGGTTGAGGAGTGATGGAGGGCGGGGGCTTTCGCGGACATGTTATGAAACAAAAAAAATGCGAGCTTGAATAGGTGCGCCAAGCTTTTGAAAGGCTGGATCTTGAGGATCGGTGTGCTCTTAAGATGCTGAAAAGAAGAAGCAAGAAAAAAGGGGGAGAGAAATCATCATCTGCGAGGGTGTGGTGAGCAGAAGGCGTGGGAAATCAATTAATAAACACGAACAGTCACATGATCAGGACAGGAGGAAATATGTACCTATGCGATAGGGAGAGGGCGGATGGTGGGGGGCGAGCACTTCTTCTGCGAACGAGTGTTGGAATCCAAAAGAAGCTCGTGCTTTAGAGCGGACAGCTTTGCTTCTTTTAAAGGCTGGATCTTCAGGAAAGAGATAGTACATTCTTTTAAATCTTTTTTCCTTTTTTTTTTTTTCTTCTCTTTTTCTTTTTGGTAATCTTGAAAAGGAGCCAAAAGGCAAAAAGAGAAGATTTTTTTGTCTGCTGCCTGGAGGTGGTTAGCGGTGTGCGAAGAGAAGAAGAGCACAGACAAGGAGAGCACACGTGTTTCGATGTATATGGAGTGTCGGACATGATTTTTTTTATTTATTTATTTTTAATTTTAATTTGGCCATAAATTTAGTATCAGGTTAATGAGTGAGTTGGCAACTGTGAGAGGAGACCTACTTATCGTCATTAATTAAATAATAAAGTAATATAAAAGTAAGCGAGCGCCGAGCGGGTACAGAAAGACTTGCTGGGAACGATTGGCTTCCAGTGCTTCGACTCGCGGTACTATTTCCAGAACAAAAGTACAGAAGCGTGCTGCAGACAGGTGCTGTCTCAGTGGGGAAATTAATTGAATTCCTATTTAATGATGATTATGTATAATTAATAATTAATAATCAATTCTGTAGAAAATGCATGGCCTATATTCACCGTCATCGAGATCTGATCTTGCGAGGGAGAAGGATGGCTAATGACGGAGGAAAGAGCTAGGGTGGGACAGAAGGGGTGGGTGAGAAGTTTGAAGAAGAGATTCTTTAGCGTCTCGATATCATGCCACATGGCGGAAGCTCAACATTCACTGGAATGGAATATGATGGTTGCCTTGCGAGAGAGAAGCACGACTAACGAGAGGTGCTCCCACGGGACAAAGGAGGACGACTAGTTTGAAGCGATTCCATAGTTTCTCCAAGCGGTGTTACGTGGGGTGAGAGGATCATCCCTAGTCGGTATATATAGACATGATGAATTAGCATAATATGGAGGCACAAGCGGTTATCACCTACCTGAAAATTCAGGGATGAAAAAGGTGAAGGGGAGGACGTCAAGCATGACTGTCTGTTACGTGGCGTGAGAGTAGCGGAAGCACGTGGCGCGCGTGAAGAACGAAGCTTGTGACCGGACATGGCGCGAGAGGAATGGAACGCGTGGCCATGACATGACGGTAATGAGAGTACAAGGGTCAAAGGCCGTCAAACGTTCTTCGTCAAAAGATTCTGTGAGACGGAACAATGCTGTCCACATATGATCATGCATTGCAGGGGGTAGGGCACTAAGGGCAGCAACTACTTTTCGTTTCCCCTGCTTTTCAAACTGCTTGTTTTCTCTTTTCTTGGGTGGGTTGGTGGGTGGTGCTGTTGGTGGTTGTGGGGAAGGTCTTGGCAGTGATAAGAGCCATCACTTTGGAGTGCCGTATGCTTGCGGAGTGCGCAGAGTATCAATAGGCGAGAGAGAGCGAGAGAGAGAGAGAGAGAGAGAGAGAGAGAGAGAGAGAGAGAGAGAGAGAGAGAGAGAGAGAGAGAGAGAGAGAGGGAGAGAGGGGTATAAGCAGCTTTGGGGTGATGATTCCAGAGGGTTGCAGTTGCGGTCACGACCGTGCTGTGATTGTTGTATCTGGATCGGGGTACATACGTCGTTTCGTACAGAGTTGGGACACACTGGCAATTAGGCGGCTGCGATTGCTGTATCGGGATCGGGTTGCATACGTAGTTTCATACCAGTTTGGGACACTCGTGATCCGGCTGCAATTGCTGTATCTGAATCGGGTTCCATCCACAGTTCGTACAGAGTTGGGTCCCACTCGCGATTGCCCTACGAGTGCTGTATCTAGATCAGGTCGCATAGGTAGTTTTGTACAGAGTCGGGACAGATGCCTCATATTGAGTTGGGCCATTCTAGGTACTATGGAGAATCATTGTCGGTCCGGATCCGAGTACCAGAACCCGAATCCGAATCCAAATCCGAATCCGAATCCGAATCCGAATCCAAATCCGAATCCGAATCCAAATCCGAATCCGAATCCAAATCCGAATCCGAATCCCAATTCCAGCTACAGGTTGGCTGTCAACGCTCATCGCTATGCGGCAGCTTCTGAGCAGCACCTAGCTGACGGAGAACACAGGACAATCCTCAATGATGCTCCTCCTCCTCCTCCTCCTCCTCCTCCTCCTCCCGGTGCCACTGTGAAATACTGGGGGGATGGGAGAGCTTCAATCGAACATGTTTATGTTTGAACCCGGCAGAAAGGCAGATGCGCTGGTGCATGATCTGCACTTGGACATCAAATGGTCCCGGTGTCCTTGTTCATCATGATCTGCACATGGACATCCAATGGTCCTGGTGCATTCTTGACTGCTCTTCGCACTGTGTCTCGCAGCTGCAAGATGTTCCCACTGTGTTTCATTCTTAATTTTGCATGAATGAAGATGGCAGTGGTTGCTGCACAGTGGGAAGAAGAAGAAATAGACGGGTTGTTTCATTCTTGACTGCTCTTCACACTGTGTCTCGCAGCTGCAAGATTTTCCTACTGTGTTCGATAGCTGGATAGCTGGATAGCTGGATAGTTGGATGGAAAGTTGACGTTCAAAGTAAGTGTTGCATTCGTGACGGGTCTCAGCACAGTGACTGTGTAAAACAGATGGACGATGTATCTATTTCTTTCGTCATTGGGTGAAGATGGAGGTGGGTTTGGCTACAGCTGGAAGGAAGTAATAGACGATAGGAAGCAAACATCCACACAGCTATGATCTTGGAAGTTATGCACACAGGTATCAAGTTATGCACAAAGCTATCCAGCTATCAAGCTATCCAGCTATACAGTGACAGAGCTGTCCAGCTATACAGATATCCAGTGATAGAGCTGTCCAGCTATCCAGCTATCCAGCTATCCAGCTATTGAGCTCTCCACCTTTACGGCTATCCAGCTATCCAGCTATCCAGCTATCCAGCTATCCAGGTATCCAGCTATCAAGCTCTCAAGCTCCGGAGCTACCCAGCTATCCAGCTATCCGGCTATCCAGCTATCCAGCTATCCACCTATCCAGCTGTCCAGCTATCCAGCTGTCCAGCTATCCGGCTATCCAGCTATCCAGCTATCCACCTATCCAGCTGTCCAGCTATCCAGCTGTCCAGCTATCCAGCTATTGAGCTATCAAGTTTCCCACGAAGCGATCCAGCTATCCAGCTATCCAGCTATCCAGCTATTGAGCTATCAAGTTTTGCACAAAGCGATCCAGCTATCCAGCTATCCGGCTATCCAGCTGTCCAGCTATACAGCTACCGAGCTATTGAGCTGTCCAGCTATCCAGCTATCCGGCTATCAATCTATCCAGCTATCGAGCTATCCAGCTATCCAGGTATCCAGGTAATACCGTATCCGGCTATCAAGCTCTCAAGCTATCAAGTTTTCCACAAAGCTATCCAGCTATCCAGCTATCCAGCTATCAAGCTATCAAGCTGTCAAGCTATCAAGCTATCCAGCTATCAAGGTATCAAGCTATCAAGCTATCCAACTGTCCAGCTATACAGCTATCCAGCTATCCAGCTGTCCAGCTATACAGCTATCCAGCTATTAAGTTGTCCAGCTATCCAGCTATCCAGGTATCCAGCTATACAGCTGTCCAGCTATCCATCTATCCAGCTATCCAGCCATCTGGCTATCAAGCTCTCAAGCTATCGAGCTATCTGGAGATCATTCCAGGATGGAAGAAAGGTTGGTAGAAGCTCGCTAGCAATGAGGCGCAAGAAAGGACAATGAATCCGATCCGCAAGTTCTGTTGGGGGGGGCGGTGCTGCTCTGGGAGGCCTCTTCTGCGTTTTTTTTTTTTCTTCGGTTGGAGGTTGGAAAGAGCTCAACAAGGGAAAAAGGAAAATGCATCCAGTTTTCTTCCCTGTTTCAAACACCACCACCACAAATCTCCCGACTCTCCGCACTGTGTCTCTGCCGAAAGCCATGCGAGGATATGCAGGAGAAGGGGAAAAGTAGGCGAAAGGAGGGAGGATGCGAAAGGAGGAAGAGGAGGTAATGCCTCTATTGTGTGGACAGCGTCTGGAGGATCAGCAGTTTGATTCGTTTTTCATAAAACGAAGAAATAAAGAATTAGAGCTCTATACGCGTCTGCTTCTTTGGGTATCACGCATACGACTCCGAGGTCATTACGGTGGTTTGGCAACGCGTTCAGTTGCAGCCGGATATGTTTGGTGATGCATTTCGATTGGTGTTCAGATCCCGTCGGATGTGTGAGAATCCAGTTTCACTCGACTTTTATTTGAGAAGTAGAAGGGGATTGAATTTCGGGAGACGAATCCTGAGACCAGAAGGTGTTGCGATGCTGTCCTTGGCTTCATGTGCACTGCACGGTACTCTACTTCCGGTTAAGGGATTGCAAAAAAAGGAGGGAATGCTGTAGCATCAAGCAGGAGGAAGCAGGAGAAATGATTGTTCTGGGCATGTTCATGTCTATTTTCAGAAGATTGGTGACTCAGTTCTTATCTGAAGAGCATGAACCGGAGATGAATCACCGAATGTTGTCTTTTTTTAGTAGTAGAACTTGTAGAAGTATATCAGGTAAGACAGAGAGATCGAGGATGGAAAATGAGTGCGGAATATAGCCGGCTATTCTTAGTAGCGAGAAGGAGCAGGTAGAGAAGAAGTGTTGCAGTATGAAGAGGGATTCTCGGACGGTTGAAGGCGACGTGAATCGTTTCGGGGCTAGATTGAGCGGTGAGGAAAGGACTAGTGTTCGATTCAATCCAAGGGCGCGGAGGCGAAGAAACCCACAGAGCGTATGTTGCCATGATGATATCGCCACCCTCCGCTCATCCTATCAAGCCTATGTATTAGTCGTCTGCCCTCCCCTCCCCTCTAACCTTCCCTTCCCAAGGGAGGCAGTGGCGCGGGTGCGAGAGAGAGAGAGAGAGAGGAGGCATTCTTCGCTGTTTTTCTCGTACGAAAATGTGTTGTTTCTCTGTTTCCCCCCCCCCCCCCCCCCCCCCCCCCCCCCCCCCCCCTTTCCGGTAGTTGTTGTTTGAGGTAGTCATCCATCTGACAGTGTATACTGGTTGTTTCCTTGTCACCGGAACGACCGTATTATGATTTGTTTGTCAGCGAGTGTCTGCAACTGCCACTGAGTCAGCCAGTTGCAGGGCTGTTGACGCCTCAGTTTTTTTTTATCCCCCTCCTTTACTTCTTTTCCCTCCTTGTCCTTCATAGTATAGCTTGTGTGGTTGTTCTTTGTTGTTTTCAACTTTTCACTTGTTTGTTCACATCAATTGCTTGCCAATTGTTTATTTTGCCTTGAGATCAGCTACAACATTGCTACACTGAAAGATGACAAACGCATCGGTGTGAGTGAACGCTTTGCTGCGTTTCCTTCTTCTTCTTCTTCTTCTTCTTCTTCTTCTTCTTCTTCTTCTTTTTCTTCTTCTTCTTCTTCTTCTTCTTCTTCTTCCTTTTTCTTCGTGACGGATCGTGAACTTCAAGACACTCGCTGGCAGACTCAGTGGCAGAGACACTTGCAGACGATGAATCGTCGATGATGACCTTAGATTTCTTCGTGACGTGTGGCGCTGGATGGGCGTTGAAGTTTTGGTGAGGGCCGGCAAAACAAGGTGATCGAAGGCGGGGGAGTGTGCAAAGGGATGCGTATAGCGAAGGGTTCACAGCGCGCCCTCAAACAAGAAAGAGGCGCGCTGGAGGCAGGGCAAGGGCTGGCATAGATGGTTTTTTTTTTTTTTTTTGTGGACAGCGTTTTGCGAGGAAAAAAAAGAAGAAAAAAAGAGGGAACATATTTTATTATTTTTCTAAACTACCTACCTGGGTAGCACCCCGTACGCGTACGTATTCCGGCGTACGCGTACGAACCCAAAATCGCGCGTACGCGTACGTAAAAAAAAAAAAATAAATAAAAAAAAATCCAAAAACTCTGAAAACAAATTATGTTGTGCAGAATAATGATACAAACAACATTTGCCTGGGAGTCGTACCCGAATTCCAAACCAATCTCGATTTCAAAATAAAAAACCTTAACAAATTTAGAAAATATTTTTAAATAGTTTTTTAATTATTATGATAATATTACCTTTTTTTTAGTTTTTAATTTCTTACTCAAGTTTGGTTGGGAATTCGGGGATGACTCCCAGGGAAAAAGTTGTTTGTATCATGTTTCTGCATAACATATATTTGTTATAGAAGTTTGTTTTTATTTTTGTATGTTTTTTTCCTAGTTTTTTTAAAATTATTTCAATTTATTTATTTTTTGTGTCGTAGTCAGCGACTACGACGCGAGTTTGGTGAGGGAGGCGGAGGTTTACATCTTGTCGCAGACAGGGTTCGATGTGGCGAGCCCCGAGTACAAGACCGCATGTGCGCAGTTGCGCGACTTTTACACGCGGAGGGGGACCATTGCGTGGGGGGGAGGGACGGAGACAGAGAGGCACAGAGGTGCACCGACGATGTGAAGACGTATGAGGTTGGTGTTGGTGGTCAAAGTGGGGACAGTGCGCCCGGCAGTTGCAGGGCATCGCTCTTCGTGTCATGTACATGTGGACGTGCTCCTCTCCTGCGGAGAGGAATTGGGCCGTCCACGAGGTTGTACAAACGAAGAAGCGTAACCGACTTGAGTTTGAGAAGGTTGCGAAGTTGGTTGAGATCCCAGCCAACGTTTGCCTTCTCTCTCATCAGCGGGCAGGCCGCGGGTTTGCGCTGCCGTGGACTCTAGATAAGTCCTTGTTGGACGTGGAGGCTGGCATTGGGACTCACCCCTCGTGGAAGGGGATGGATGATAGGAGGACGCAGGAGGAGTTAGAGTGTCAGAGCCGTTCGTGGCAGCGAGACCCGTGTGGGTCGAGAGCTCCTCCGGGTGAGGTTGCAGTGTTTTCGGGACTCGAGCTGCCACATTGCGCCCGTACGGTCGTACCCTAGAGATGACGACAGCGATTACGAGGGTCGGGAGCAGGAGGACGAGCGGGCGGGCCCCACTGCTGCGACTACTGCCGCACAAGAGGTTGATGAGTGGAGCGACCCGAAGGACGTCCGTAGACGGAGTGGCGGGGATGACTTTTTCAGTGGAGTTGATTTGGAGGGCGAGGTGGGTTTAGCCTTTTAGGGGGTCGTTATGGGAGCCCTGTTGAGCAACAGAGGCCTGTGTCACCTGTCCTACGGTCTACCGAGCGAGAGGGAGTGCATGGGTCTGCACCTTCGAGGGGGGCAGAGTCGGGTTGTGGTGGCCCTGTCCTTGGCCAGCAACTGCATAGATTGGTGAAGGGCCCTAGACAGCGATTAGAGAAGAGATTAGCGGGCGGTCCTTCACCGGTCCAGGGGGACGAGAGAGATAGAGAGGGGTCAACTGGTGGAGATGGTGGTGCGTTGGCGGCAGGCGGAGGCAGTGCTGAGGTTGCTGCGGCGGTTGGCGGGAACGCGCTTGGGGATTTTGTTGAGGAGGGGATGCCGGCGGGTGGCGGAGGAGGTTTCAATGAGTTCAATGACTTGGGTATGCCCCATGGAAAGAGCGAGTCTCGGGGGGACATCAGTGTCGGCATGCAGGCCGTATTGGGACAGATCAGCGCCCTGCGCCCATAGTGTTTCTCCCCTGCCATGCGCGAAGAGTTGATGTCGTCACGGACCTCACACCCCCTGGAGAGACATCTGGAGAGAGGCTGGATAGGCTTGATAGTCGTCGAGCTTGCCTCATGGCACGAGGGGACCCCAGGACGTAGGAGTTGGCCCGTGTTGCGTTTGAGGAGCGAGAAAGACAGTTGGGGACATTCACGCCGGCCTCCGTTGACGTAGAGACAATGGTCCACATGTATCCTCCTACAGGGGATCGTGATGGGACGCAGGGGGAGGCAACTTTAGCCGATGCGTCGAGGATGGGAGGTGATGTTGAGCAGGGGTCGCACGAGACCGGGTTCGCACCCCAGAGGACTCACGTGCGGTGCCTGACCAGCCTCCTCACGACGAGCAGAGGCCCAAGGACACTTTGCATGAGGGTGCGGGCGTGCCTCTGGCCACGGGTTTGGTTGCGGGTGCCTTGCACATTTCCCCGGGTCTTGAGGAGATACAGATGGGGCAGTCAGTGGGCGTTGATGATGTTCGACCATCTGCACAGGCAGAGAGGATAGCACCGACCACGGGGGTGGAGGATGACGTCGCGGGGGACGTTCATGTTATTGGGGTGGAGGCGCCAGTTCAGGCTGATCCGATGCACACGTTTGGGGGGCGAGATGGTGCACACGTCGATAGCAAGCTTATACCCAGAGAGGATGTGAGAGACGGGCATGACGGAGACAGACAGGAGACACCACATACTTTGGTGGTTCGCATGGCTGTAGGGCTGGTGGTGCCACATCAGGCACCGTTTCTGGTGGATCCTGGGCGTCGTGCCAATGGCGGTGGCCCGGTCGCGGAGCGACGAGTAGGCAAGGGCACGTGCGCACCTCCGTTCCCTACTTTTGCGCCGTCACGGGAGAGGCCGCAGATTAGGTATGTGGCCACGCCTCATGGCAGCCTCCCATTTGGATGTATGACTGCTGAGGAGTTGGAGGCGCACGGCGGGATGGATTTGACCGAGGCCAACAGGCGGTGCTTCAGGAGGCCTCCGCAGGCGGGGCGTCTGCCTCACGTGCAAGACTTGGCCCTAGCTTACCTTCAGGAGGTTCTGTCGTGGCACCCTCTCACAGCACAGCAGGGCCATCCTCACTAGCGAGCGTAGTTGCGGAAGAGAGCGGCAGTCTCACCCCGAGGTCGGCTGCCCGTAGACGGAGAGACGCTACCGACCATGCGCGGGTGTCAGAGGACAGCATGTTGTTCGGTCGCATTGATCGACCGTGGAGTGAGACAAGACGGGTGGCGACGACGAGTGCCGCTCGGCAGCCAGGTTTGAGAGAGGTTTCCACGACCGGGAGTCGTCATGATGTTGTGACGTCGGGTTCGGCAATAGAGGCGGGGATAGTGGTGGCATGCCTGGCAGACGTGAGCGCGCAGGCGATGCCGCGGCGGGCGGAGCAGATCCGCCGTTGAGGTACGGCTTGTGAGAGGCATCTATTATTTTACAGGAGCCAGAGGTTGTTACACGAGCGAGGCAGGCTCGACACGTGCCCTTAGATCGACGCCAGGAGTGGGAGACTTCAGGGGCAGACGGTCTTCCCATGTGTCGCGATTCCCCCCGACATGTTGATCTGGCAGTCGCAGGTATACCCGGAACAGTCAGAGGCAGGAGAGTTATTATGGACGATGACCTCGACGAGCCTCCCGAGCCTTCCACTGCCGGACGCGGCGGGTAGCGGTATAGAGGTCGAACACGTGGCACTGGTCGCTCACACGGACATGGTTCTCATCGGTCCAGGCGGGATTCGCATGCAAATGACGATCGTTGATGGTCTACGCACTTGCGTTTACACGGCCCGGTCTCAGTGCAGTTTACTTTTTTGTCGTCCATGACAGACGTACTGTTTTGTGATCTTGTGTTATACTTTACTTTTTATTCGGTACTTTTTGCGCAGTTCAGACATGGTTTCGTTCGACACTTCGGAGATTATTTCTTTTTAGTCTATTTTTTTGTCTACTTTTCAGCGGGTACTTTTTAGACTTCATTTTAGTCGGTGTTTTTTTGGATGTTGTGGCGGGTCGTCGGCCCTATATGTCAAATGTATTTTGCTATTATCCATACTACGTTGGTTTGCGTTTTGCTTCGAGTATATCTTGTTGTTTGCAATGTTTGTGTTTCCAGACGATGGGTGTTGGATGTGCGTATATAAGAACAGTGTGTGAACTTGCATCTGTCCACATGAACGGAATGACAAGTACATATATGTGTGCATGGACAATTTCCTGTTCTCACACAAATCCCATTTCGCATTGTATGAGCACCACTAAAACCTGGCTTGTGGGGCGCGGGCGGCCGTGGGTGGTTTGGGCTTGGTTCGATTTCAACCCGCACCAAACCCAAATCCCTCGAACGCGTCAACACCCCACAAAAGCCAAACCCTCCCCATCGCGCTCTCCCCCAAAATCTGGATCAGTTTTTTTTTTCCTTTTCTTTTTTTTTCTTTTTTTTCTTCTTTTTTCTAGCAACGGTGTTCGGCCAATTGGGCGTGGAGGCGACGGGGTGCGGGTGGGTGGGGGGCTGTTCAATGGAGGGTGTGTTGTAGGGTGGTGTGGTCGTGTTGTAGGCGGGCCGACGAGGTGCGGGCGCTGGGGCGCCAGGGTGTTGGGGCGTTCGGGCTCCGGGGTGTGGGCGCTGGGCCGCCTGGGCGCTGGTGCGCCGGGGTGTGGGGCGGTGGGGCGGTTGGGCGGTGGGGCGCAGGGGCGCCAGGGTGTGGGGTGGTGGGGCGCTGGGGCGCTGCAACAGAAAAATTCCCACGAGAAATAAAAGTTGAAAAAACATTCCATAGAAAAAAATCATTCGTATTTATAAATTATCATTCCAATGTTCGTCCAATTCTCAAATTTTCAGTTTCATTTAACAAGTTCCCATCTAAATATGAGTTTTCCCTTCCAACAACATCTATTTGTTCAAGATGGAATGAAAGTCTGGACGAGTTTATGAAATGTTTTGATAAATTTTCATTCCACTACAACAAATATCTTCTAATTTAGATTGGGCATTGGTGTGTGGGCGCTGGGGCGCTGGGGCGCCTGGGTGTGGGCGCCGGTGTGTGGGTGCCGGTGTGTGGGCGCTGGGGCGTCGGTGTGTGGGCGCTGGGACACCTGGTTGTGGGCGCTGGGGTGCTGGGGCGCTGGGGCGTCGGTGTGTGGGCTCTGGGGCGCTGGGGCGTCGGGGCGCCTGGGTGTGGGGCGCTGGGGCGCCGGTGTGTGGGCGCTGGGGCGTTGGGGCGTCGGGGCGCCTGGGTGTGGGGCGCTGGGGCGCCGGGGTGTGGCCGGTGGTGGCCGTTTTTTATTTTTTTCGTATCTGAGAACGCACTCCACCACCCCGTGGCCCCTGGCGCGCGCGCGAACGAACAGGGGTCACATTCACAAAAAATGCACCACGCCGCGCGTAGCGCGTTTGAACGCCAATGAACGCGGCCCCGGGCCATGTGAACGCGCGCGTTTGAACGAGCGTTCGGCGTGTTCAAACGGTTGCACAGTGCTCTTATCAGCGCCCCTAGCATCATCCCGGGTTGTTGTTAAAAAGAAAAAACAAAAAAAAGAGATAATGTCTGTTACCAGCTTTGTGCTTGAAGTGCCCGACACCTGATCAAGCTCTGCAAGAGGAGATTGCAGCTCAGTTACAAGGCCTCTCCAAAATCATTATGACGTGTTCATTGTTCCCAAAAAAAAAGAAAAAAAACAGCACCCCCGCAGCCGTCGCCTCGGCAACATAAGATTGCAGAAAGCTGGAGGCCTGACTGTCCAGGGACAAGGCATGATGTCTTTTCTGAGCCGTCGTTTTTTTTTTTAATGAAACAATGGCGGACACGGCATGTTTGGAGTTCCTGAAGGCACGAAAAACAGGCCTCGGTGACTGTGTCACCTGAGTTCGAACAGGCGTTTGTAACTCAGGCCGGCAGTGTTGCCAGGGCGGAGGTTTCATTAAGTCGGTTGTGTTTTTTTTTTTTTTTTTTTCGCTCGGTCGCGCCGCGC